GCTTTGGCCAGTAGCCAGGGGGCCCGAGCCTCTGATTCCTGCCGAGTAAGCAGTCTGTATCCGCAGCCGCGGTACCGTGGCAGCAAGGCTGGGGGCGCTGGCACTCTGCCAGCACCACAAGAATTAGCTCATTGTTCACTGGCACACTTGCAGTGCAGAGACAGAGACAGGGAGAGATTCCGTGAGAGATCATCTTATAGAAAGACTCAGCGCGCGCGCGCATACACACACACTCACTCACACTCACATTGTTGGAGCGAGAGCGCGAGGCTGGGAGACCTTCCCCTCCCTTTTCAAGGCTGCACTTCTTGGAAGTGCAGCCGGTTTGGGTTTTGTTTCCCTTCTCCCTCCTCCCTCCTCTTCCTCCACCCCTTTCCCCTCCCCCTTTGTCCCCCTCCCCCACAGCTGTCTCTCTAGCATGATGCCCTTTTTCATCCACATTTGTGTTTCAGGTGTAGAGAGGAGAGAGTGAGCTGGGAGCGGGCTTTTGTCTGTAAGTATATGCCATTCCCATCCCCGGCCTGGAGCGCTGCTTTCTCTTTTGTGTGGGTTCCTTGCCGTTGCTGGTAGCTGGACTCTCCCACCCTGCAGAGTGCAGGCTTCTTGCCTCTAAATTTTAAAGAACTGAAGCTGTACCTTAGAGGAATTCTGACATTTTGATCTTGCTGCATTGAGGCTGGGCTTTTTATAAAATGCACAAGTTAAGAGGGAGAATTCTTTTGGGGAAGGGGTGGGGTTTTTTGTTTGTTAGTGAGGTTAATTTATGTTCTTCTTGCCCATAAAGTAACTGTTCTGTTTCTTTGCATTGGATGCACTTTGGTGCATACAACCCTCTGTCCCTTTTGTACAAGGAATTTTCGTCCCTGCATCCTCACACTTTATTACTCTTTCAACGCTGCCGCTGCTACCAAAGGTCTTCTCAGGCTTTTCCTCTGATCTTGCAACACTTCTTTCTTCATTTTCTTATAAAGCAGATGAACTTTGGGGGAGGGCAGGTTTACCAATGAATGTCTGATTTTTGCTTCTTAATGATAATGTGATTTACACATATATACATATATATTAATAACAATATAGGAAAACTCTTAAGAGTTTATGATATTCCTATGGAGAACTTTTAGTTTCACCACTCATCTTAATTTTTGTCATAACTTAGACAAAAGAACTGTGTTTTGATACCATAAAGGCTGAGAGAAAAATCACTGCAGCATGTACATAATGTTTATTTGGTTTGGAGACAAAATCATAATGGTGTATATTCCTGACTCCCGCACCCCCCCCCCCAGTGTAGTGTGTGTGTGTGTGTGTGTGTGTGTGTGTGAACTGAGAAGGTTATGTAATGCAGTGCCATTTCCAAAAATATCCACTCTGAGGCATTACACATGGAGGAAGGCTGATCCCTATTCTGCTGTCTTGATTGCAAATATACTGCCAGTAGTATGTCTGGGAACAAAGAGCAGCCAGAAAACAATCTATTTTTATAACTTGGGGCTACTTATAAGTGGCTAAACCCTTTGAACTCCTTCAATTTAAAGATGAGCCAAACACTAAGAATAGCCCAGGACTCTGTGAAGCTAGGTACCAGGGATTCCTTTGTCCCCAATTTAAGCCTGTAGACTGCTTGGAGAGTTCTTTCAGAATCCCCAGTGGTTACAATCATTTGCATGTAACATCTTAAGGGCAGAAAGTGATTTTTTTGTCTGTAATCTCTAAAAATGCTTTTCTTTTTGTGTTTTCTAACCTGTGGGGAGGTGATTTTTCTACTGTATTTAAATGTATTTTTCAGGTTGGTCTCCCTGGACTGAAGAGAGGGAGGGTGGAAGGCCCAGACTGTTATGATTCTCAAAATGGTAAGACTTGGTCATCAAGGAGATTCACAGTCACTTATCAGTCTTTATTACATATAAATATCAACCACCCACCTTTAGCCCGCCCAGCTCTACATTGTTCCTACCCCATATGACCTTTAAAAGCTGTCTCTAGCATGTGGGAGCTTTGCAGTACAGCAATTTATATGAACTGATGTAGTGAAATGGATAATTTTGATTTTCAATCGTTTTGAATAGGAAACTGAAATCCCTCTCTCTCAGAAGTCAAGATTTTTTTTAATTAGAACTGCAGAAATTATTTTGTTCTTTGAGAAGAGTTTATGTTGGAATAGGCGTGGAAGAGGTAACAGCAGAAGAAACAAAGCTGTTAGAGATAGCTAGAACTTATCCAAAAAAGTAACAGATACAGTAGCTGATATCCTTAAAAGCAGTATGTATAAAGATCATGAATTTCTATATCACTATGCTCTGTCCATTACATCTCAAAGTGAATTGGATTTTTTAATTTACAGTTTCACTTATGAGAAACATTTGCTCAGTTTTAGAAGTCAAAGCATGCCACCCTCTCGAGAGAGTAATTATTTCTGCGAAGCATGATCTACAGAGAAGGAAGTTTAATGTCTGATGACCGATTAAGTGAAGAAAAAATGAAATTCACATTGAGAACAGCTGAATAGGTGTGGTCATCTTCTGTGAAATTTTTCCTCTTGGAAATTAGATTGAATGGGGGGGGGGAAGAAATGTCAGAAAACTTTGTAGTTAAGTACAGCATGTCTTCCTGCAGATGTTTATATTCTTTAAAACACCACTTTGCCACTTAAAATGTGTGATTTCCAAATTTAGTTTTTTTTTGCTGTTAAATGAGGGTGGAATTTAATGAATCAAAAGTGAATCTGATATACTTGATGTTTTTTTCTTTGAGAGCAACACAAGACTAAATGTCCCAGATGAAAAATGAATCAGAGGCAATTAAATGAGTTCAGTTTGAGTTTTCTTAACAAGTAAGCCTTTTTTTATATATGCTTCACCTGTCATTTCAACAGGTGGATGTCAAAGTACAAAAAAATAACAAAAGTAGCTCTTACTTGGGCATTGACAAAATTAAGGAACTTAAGGCCAAAGGACAAAAGAGATGAACATAAAGTTAAATTAATCAATGGATAATCAATGGAGTTTGTATAAATGATTTTTATCTTCATATTAAATTCCCAGTTAGCATTGTCAGAGAGTACTAGGTGTTAATAAAGTAAATTGCTGTGCACTATTTTTATTTCTTTAATCGTGTGTTACTGTGGTTGGCCACCATCACCATGTAGCTCGCTCTTTGTCCCAGAAATTTACCTTCATTGTCACCATAGATAGACCATGAAAGTTCACGTCATTTTATGCTATGTCAAGTGACCAATTTTTTGTACATAAATTTGACTGCTAATGTAGGCATTATATAATATTATAACATACTATTAGCATAATAATAATATGATCAAGCTTCAAGGTAAATATATTGCTGTAGCCAGTGACTGGATTGAAGTTCATGGAAAGCAAGTATGCATGCCAAAGCAGAGAATGAAAGTTGGAAAGATTTGTATACAGAAGAGTGAATTCAAATTATTATTACATGTTGCTAATTTATTACAGTTGTCATTTATGTATGGTGGTAGAATGAGAAATCACAATTTGTTCTTGGAAGGGTTTTTACTCATGGAAAAATTCTCACAACTTTTTGGTGATCCTTTCATCACAATGTCAAACAAGCTTTTGGCACAAGCTTGTTGCCTGAAATGAAACCACCACCACCAACAACAGTTATTTTCTGTGGATGATTCCAAGTGACTTTCTAGTAATTTTCTTTTTCAAGGAGGTCTGAGCTCTTAAAAGTCTTTGTATGTGTTAATGTGCAAACAGATATCCATTATCAAAAAAAAAAAACTGATATGACAGGGGTCTTTCACCTCTACTTTGCATTGTCTGGAATAATGAAGTAGTGTTCTTTGTTTTATCAGAACTGATTTCTGTTATAGATTCACTGAAAATGAAGACTTAACCTATATACAATAGAAATTAATGCTTGGGAAGCAGGAGGTTTAACATTTGGACACCAGTAGAAAATATATAAATAAATGCCTTTTCAGTTACACTTGCGTTTCCATTTCCATGGATTGAAACAGGAGAGGATCTAATTTCAGTGGCTTTAGCCTGTTTAATAAAGTGCTTATTCCAAATACAAATTTATAATCAGCTTATTCCATTTAGGAAATTAACTGGTAGACTAACTCCAAAATTTGAAACAGAATGTTTCAGTATCTGAACATTGTACATACCCTAAAATGATAACTAATGTTTCACAACAGTAATTTGAAGACACTCAAGAATCCAGTGTGCCTTTTCCATTATCTGAAAAGAATTGTTTGTTCAACTGCTGGAGATGGCAATCACATTGTTTTTGTGTGAGACAACTCCAGGGGGCGCCATTTACAGAATTTACAGAAATGATTGCTTTGTAGCACTTAGGCATGGTGCAGTATTAGTACTGTTAAAAAAGTTTTCATTTTGAGTATAGTTTGCTGTACCATAGTTAAAAAAAAAAAGTTTTCAATAATTCACTCCCTAGTGTTTTTTTTTTTTTTTT